CGTTCCTGCACGCCCCGAGGCGCAAGCTGCGTCTCCGCCATTGAAATTCGGATATGTCGACAAAGCTCAGCGGATTGACCTCTACTCCCGAAGGAGGATGCGCGAGGGGATCCGCGTTCTTGCTGCAAGCCTGTCGGCCTCTCTCCACGCGCAGACGCCACTTCCAGCGGCTGCCCGCGCGCGCACCCGCGCGCCACGCCCGCGCCGCCAAGGCCGCGTTCGCCCCCAACCAGCGCCGCGCGGAACTCGCACAGGCGGCGGTCCTTCCACCGCGCCATCCCACGCGCATCACGTCCGCACGGGTTGAGCGGTCACCTTGATCGCGCAGTGATACGGCTGGCCCATCTGCCGCCTACCCAGCGCGCACCGCGGCGGCCCTAGCCCCTCGGGGGCCCAATCGCGAGCCCCGACCAAGATCGTGTAGCTCAACTCTGACAGCGCCTGCATGCGGTTGCGAAGGTCATCCCAATCGGCGGTTGAAATCCCCGCCAGTCTCCCGAGCTCTTCCGGCGCCTTCTGGAGCAATGTTACCCCTGGCCGACCCCAAGCAAGAATCGCTTCGGGGGCGCCCCCGGCGTCGGACGCACATCCTCGCGGCAGCCCCATTGCGCGCATTTCGCGAACCATGAACAACCTCAGACAGCGCGCCCCACGTCCAATCATACCCTGTCCATCCGCGCCAGGGGGGTCGACTCTGGCCTCCGGCCGCACCAGGTCGATAGGCGCGACGTTTCTGCGCCGCGCGAACGCCACTGGCGGGGGCGACGACGGCGGGGAAGCGCCTCCCGGTGCCCAGAAGAGCGATGCCACGCCCGCCTGCCCCAGCACGCGCGAGCTTGTGATCGAAGATTCCCCCCCGGGATGACCCCGCTGTCCGCGCCTGCGGTTTCCGCCTGGCCCAGCAGACTCTGTTGGGGGATCGCCATGAGCACGGCATAGTTGTTGCTGCCATCGCCATCAGACCACCCAGTTGCGATGCGACCGTCCTGTCGCGGTCGCTGTCGCGGTCGCTGGGCACTCAAGGGCCGCCCTGCCTGTCCCGGCGAAGACGGCAATTGGCGATGCGCGCCAGGGCGGGAGGGGGCGCTGGACAGCGAATGAACGTCAGCTCCAGGGCGCCAATGGGCAGGCATCTGTCAAGCTCGTCGACGCCGAGGTCCGTCGCAATCACGTGGCCGCCCACCACTCGGAGACTGACCGCGAGCTTCGCCCTCGCGCAATAGGCCAGCTGCTCGAGAAGCCTCGCCACCTCGGCACTCGGCAGGAGACTGGCAACGATGACAACTCCAAATTGTGCACGAGAGAAGCACGCGTAGGCGTCGAGGGTCGTTCAAAAAGATGAAATCCCGCTCGTCGTTGGAGCGGGCCGCGGCGGCGACGACGAGGTCAGCTTCCTGCCCCTGCATGGCCTCCACATAACCCACGGGGACGTGCGGGCCGCATCCATCGGGAAACCGCCACCATATGCCTTTTAAACGAACGAATGCCCCGACCTTGCGCGACAGCAACATTGGGCAATAACTCGCTGCTGTAAGTCGGTTGTACTCGTGCATCCCTTCTACCGCCAGCGGCCCCGTCCGAGGTGTCCATGGCTGAAATATAATCAAAACCGTGTCCTCTTGGCCCTTCTTTTTCCGCAGCTGCAGGGGCCTGCGGGCGCCATTGACTAGGATGTTCGAGGCTGAACATGGAGCACCTGCCAGGATAACCGCCAACTGGAAGGCGCAGGGAGCCAAGACTAGCAAGGTCTGTCGGTTCCTCTGGAGCCCTGGAACGACTGCCTCGACAACCTCCAGCAGAAGCTTGGCCTCGTGCAGGTAGCCGTCGACCTGGACGTCGCAACCTCTACCCCAGGGACGCGAGCTACAAGCGTCTCGTGCACGCCTGGCCCGACCCTGCACACCGACCGCACCTTCACTCAATTGGGACCTCCATCGGCGGGGTGATCAGGTCGGAACGAGTCGGCCGTCGGTGGCCGCATCTCCCGCCATGGGACGTTGCCGAAGGGCGGTCGCGATCCGAGAGCCGTGCCGTCCTGCAACTGCCATCCGTAATAGAGACGATTCCAGTTCCACAATTGGTTGGGATGTGATCGGTAGTCGATGACAAGGCCAGGGCATGCGCGGGCGTCCCCACCCATCTGGTGGACAAAACGGTCGCGCGTGGAGGGGATGCCGCTGGCTGCTGCCACGTCATCTTTGATCACTTGCCCAAGCTGCTTGCGGTCGCCGACAATGACGGCTCGGCCTCCACAGAGCACCACGGTCTGCACTGACATATGTGTGGCAGGCTCTGTGGCTTGTGACGCCTCGCCTTGCGTGAAAAAAACGCTCTTCACAAAAATCGGTTCGAACCGTTTGCAGGCTACTTCCAGCGTGGCACTCATGATGCTCGCTGCCGCGAGTTGATGTTGGCGAAACGATTGGTAGGGGATGGCCTGGTCGCCTTCTTATAGCTCGTATGTCGCATGGCGTGTATCGGTAGTCAATTCCCTAGCTCAGTTGCGTACCAATGCGTCTGGCCTCGTCAACCGAAGCACCTGATCCAGTCTCCTGATCAGGGCGACGGCTACGTAGTCCGCTGCGGCGTTAGCTTCGTAGACAATCAAAACAACCGACCTCGGGGCCCGGACGAACGCTCACGTCTCAGCCAAAGCCCCAATGAAGAATGTTCCCCCGTACCTGGTGGACCTCCACTTGCCGTCATGATGTTGGCGTTGACTCTCAGAGCCGCCTCTAGTTGCCCCGAGTTGGCACCATGCGCAGCCATGGTGGCACGAAGGGAAGTCCGTTGGTGCCGCAGCGACTCGCTGCATCACAACACCAGTATGTCCTAGTAGCTCCGTGGTCGAGTACTGCCGCCCGCTCCTGTCCTGTGCACACGGGATCGGTCGGGGCCCATCAGGGGATCCATCGGAATAGGACAGCGTCTCCCCAAAAAATCTGGAGGCCGCGCGTTAGAGCGTGTCCGCACATTCTACGCGGTACTCCGCTTCGTTCACGCGCGGCCGTGCTTCTGACGGGAAGCCAGGTCACAGCATCACGGGTATGGAGTTTAGGGTCTGGCCCAGCCGCGAATCAAGGAGCTTGCCATGGTAGAACACGCCCCTAATGCCTCGCGAGAGTTTCCTGAATGTTTAGTCATCCGCCACACTGTACAATCAGATGAGTTTCCTGGCCCTGTCGTCCTCGTCCACCTACATGATTTGGGCGCCCGAGTTATCCGGGGTAACTCGGGCCCGGGGTAACTCGGGTCTGGATTCCCGTGAAACCAACCCGAGTTAGCCCTGACCCGAGATACCCCTGATGATTTGGGGCTCTGGACGCCCGAATTATCCGGAGTACCTCGGGCTCGGGGTAACGCGAGATCGGATTCCCGAAAAACAAACCCAAGTTAGCCCTGACCCGAGTTACAACTGATGATTCGGGGCTCTGAATGACTTTCTCTCCGATGCGCGCCAAGCGGAAGACACAGATCCATTGAGGGAAGAAGAAGGGCGCTCGCTCCAGACCGCGGGGCGGCCAGCGTGGCGTGATTTGCTGCATGCAGCTGAGACGAGGGTGCGACCCAAACACACACACACACTCACACACACACACGCATACACACGCACACACACACAATCATGCGAGGTGTGGAGCGGTAAAGCCATCTGTGAGGCCGCGCCCAGTGGGAGATCGTGCTTCGAGCCGTGCGCGACGAAGCACCTTCAGGGCTGTGCAAGCACTGCGGAATCCCCCCGCGGAGCTCGAGCGGCTCTGATGCCTTCCTTTTCCAACTCTTGCGGCGGCGTCTAGTCTGCCGTGGTCTCCGCCGGGGAGGGGGGCTGCTGGGGTGAACAGCGGTGCCGCAGGGTAACCCCTGCGTGGTGTCTCGAGCTCGTGACGTGAAGCTGAAGCGTAAAGCGGAAGCCAGTGGCTAAAAGCTAAACGCTGAGCCGACGCTACTTCGATCGGAGATGGAGGGGGAGGCGAATGTCAAGGGAATCGGACGGGAAAGAGAAGGGAAAGACGCGGCGTCTGCCCACAACTTCTCGGGTGCTGCTCGGGACGTTGACACAAGGTGACCCCGGCTCTTCCCAGGAGGACCACATGGAACCGAGAGCACGTCTCGGGAGGCCAGGAGAGCCCCACGGTGGCCCAAAAAACTTGCGAAGACCTGGGGCCACATCCCTGGCATCCGATCGACCATTCTCTGTGTGCGAATAGCTTGGGCCACATCCCGGGCAGCCGTTCCGTCGGATTTCTTTCAGGGGGACGTAAGACCTGGGTACAGGGGACTCGGAAATCCCCGACGAGGTCGTCAAAAAAATGACGAGGCCGAGCCTGCATTTTGACGAGGCCTCCCGCTGCAGACATCCCACGAAACTCCTCCTCGTCAAAATCCGAGGCGCGGCCGTCAAAAAACGATGGCGAACCCGAGTCCTGGCAAACCCGGGTCTTACGCTCCCCCGATTCTTTAACACGGGGCCCACGAGAGTGCCCTTGCCCAAGGGGCCGGCAGTTTCACCCCGAAGCGTCGCTGGACGGTCCATTTTGGGCCCAGCGAGTGCACCCGGGATGCCACAGCGGCCGGAAATCTCCCGTGCCGCACTGTTTCATGGCGCAGGCATGGCTGGGGAGGAGGGGGAGGAGGAGGGGGAGGAGGAGGGGGAGGAGGAGGGGAGGAGGAGGGAGGAGGGAGGACGAGGAGGAGGAGGAGGAGGAGGGGGAGGAGGAGGGAGGAGGAGGGGAGGAGGAGGAAGAGGAGGGAGGAGGAGGAGGAGGAGGAGGGAGGAGGGAGGAGGAGGAGGAGGAGGGAGGAGGAGGAGAGGAGAGGACGAGGGAGGAGGGAGAAGGAGGAGGAGAAGGAGGAGGAAGAAAGAGAGGAGGAGGAGCAGGGAGGAGGTGGGGATGGGGGGAAGGAAGAGGAGGAGGAGGAGGAGGAAGGGGAGGAGGAGGAGGAGGAGGAGGGGGAGGACAGGATAACCTCCGTCGTCCCCCGACCATTGCGGCGCGGTCCAGCAGGACCGACATGCCCGTCCGATACATGTTGCTCGACGTCGATGGGGGACACGCAAGGTCCCACCGCTCGCCGAGGATCGAGGTCTTAACCTGAAGGCCGTTCCGCCCGCCGGGCGAGATAGACAGAGAGAGAGAGAAAGAAAGAGAAAGTGTGTAGGGAGCCTAAAGAAAGAGAGACAGAGTGTAGATATATCAATATAAATATATATATACAGAAAGAGAGAGAAAGAGAGAGAGAGAGGGAGAGAGAAAACAAACAAACAAAAACATATTTCGGAGGTCCGTACGGATTTCCTGCATCTGCGCTGGAGCCCCCTGTCGCAGCCTCCAGCGCCGCCCCTGGCGCGCTCCGCGCGCCAGGGACGGGAGCCCAACGCAGATCCAACAAATCCGCGCTGAGGAAAAAACTATGCGTATGCATGTTTTGGAAAGGAGGAATAGATAGAGACGGGGAGAGAGACTGATGGGGGAAAAAACAACAACACATGTGAAGGACACAACTTTATGCAGTTGTGACGCCCGTCGGTGTGAGTAGCATGAAGCATGCGAAGGTGTGCCAATATGCGGCGGGGTCGCCAAGTGGGCGTGCTATTGGGGCTTAAAGTGGAGCCCACTGTGGGGCCGCGAAACGTGTGAGGGGTGCGCTGCAATGGGGCGGGGCCGCCACTGGGGCCGTGTGGCAACGAAACTCTGTACTGAACTGGGGGAACCGTATGCGAACACCGCGGTTGGGGTCTTCGGTGGAACTCCCGATGGGGCCACGAAGCGCTGTATTGGGTGGGGGAAACGCATGCGAACACCGCCAGTAACGCCTTCGGTGGAGCTTTAATGGGGCAGCGAAACATTGTACGAGGCGGGGGAAAAGCACGGGAACGCCGCCATTGGGGCCTTCGGTGGAGCTCCATATGGAGGTACGAAACGTTGCCCTGGGTGGGGGAGACGCATGCGAACACCGCCACTGGGGCCTTCGAAGAAACTCCCTGCGGGGCAACGCAATGCTGTACTGAACCGGGGAAACGTATGCGAACTCCGCCACTGGGGCCTTCGGTGAGGCCCCCAATGCAGGAGCGAAGCGCTATACTGGGCGGGGGGGACGAATGCAAATACAGCAACTGGGGCCTTCCGTGGAGCCCCCCATGTGGCAACGACGAAAACGCTGCACAGGGTGGAGGAGACACACGCGAACACCGCCATTGGCGCCGTCGGTGGAATTCCCCATGGAGCCACGAACCGCTGTATTGGGTGGAAGAGACGCATGCGAACACCGCCACTGGGGCCTTCCGCGGAGCTCCCGGTGGGGCAACGACGCGCCGTATTGGGCGGGTGGGACGCACGCGACACTGACACCTTCGGTGCAGTTCCACATGGGGCCACGAAGCGCTGTATTGGGTGGGGGGACGCATGCGAACACAGCCACTGAAGCGTTCGGTGGAGCTCCCTATGGGGCCACGAAGCGCCGTACGCAACGGGGCCACGAAACGAGTGAGGGGTTCGCCGGAATTGTTGAATGGTGCGGAGAATAGAAGCAAGGAGGACGTTGAAATGTTGGAGCGTGCTGCTTACCACACACGCGGTTTCAATCGAAAACCAGCAAGGGCACAAGGGGTGACCACATCGCCAGCGACTCGCAGCCTAAGCGCGACGGCTGATACGTAGGGCGTCCTTCAACCGGGCTTCAAACCCGCCAGGACACCCAGCACGCGTAACTGAGTTCGCACCCCAGGGGGAATGGGCACGAGGCCCCATGGAATTTACGCGCCACATGGTCCCACCTCTCCACCAAATGCGCGCTCCCCAAGCCTGGGACCCAAATCCAGCGCTACCGGCGCTGCTGACGCCACCAGCGGCAAGGCGAGGACGCCAAGCAGCTTGGTTCACGAAGAAAACGGCCCGTTGCATCTCACCAAGCTGGCGGATAAAGCTCCTGACAGTGTACCCCGTGGAAAGTGTGGCACTGACACTATGAGAACAGGTACCAAGCCCCCTACCCGCAGTGGGGAGGGCAGGGGCAGGGATGGGAGAAAGGAGGAAGGGGAGGAGGAAGGAGAAGAAGAGAGAAGAGGAGAGGAGAGGCGAGGAGAGGAAAGGAGAGGAGAGGAGAGGCGAGGAGAGGAAAGGAGGACAGAGGAGAGGAGGGAGAGGAGAGGAGAGGAGAGGAGAGAGGAGAGGAGAGGAGAGGGGAGGGAGGGGAGGGGAGGGAGGGGAGGGGAGGGGAGGAGAGGAGAGGAAAGAGAGGAAAGAGAGGAAAGGAGAGGAGAGGAGAGGAGAGGAGGAGAGGAGAGGAGAAGAGAGGAGGAGACGTGGGGCGCCGTCTCTCCAAAACGAAAACCCAACACCAAAGGATGGTTGGGGGAAGAGAGAGAGAGAGATAGAGAGAGAGAGAAATAACAAACAAACGAAAAAGAGCGAGGGAGAGAGAGAGAGGCCACAACTGCTCGACGAGCCGAGGTTCGTCTGGCGGGAGGACTGCAAGCGCCCCCCGCGCCAACTTCACGTGGCGGGAGGTGCCGCTGTGCGAGCACGGGTGGGGAGACTACTTCCCCCCTGGCGCGGATCGTGGGGACCCTGGCTGTCAAAAAGAGACGGGACTCGGCGCTCAGAGCGTGGAACACTCAGTCTGCACACACACACACACACACTCACACACACACACACACACACACACACACACGTGCGCAGAGCGACGCCGGCTGCACACACGCTTTGGCGCGTTGGGGCAGCCCCTGCAGTGGCCAACCAGGAAGACAACGGAGCCGAGGCCAACAGTTCGCAAAACCCAGGAGGAGGGGCGCCAGCACTGGTGCGCCGCGCGCTGGGCGGCAAGGGAAGCCTGGTGACTGTCCTGGAAGGACGCCAAGGGGCCGAGGCAGGCCAGAACCCCTGCGGCAGGTCGCCCGAAGCCGCTCGCGCAGGGCAGAATTCTGTCACGGGCAGTGGTGCTGACTGTTCGCGGGCGTGCTGGGGGCGTTGGGCGAGGTGGTTGGCTCGCTGGTGCGGCGCGCTTATGGCGATGAGTTCCGATTCACGGTCGCCGTCAGGCTGCCGAGTAGCAGCCGTTAAACGCCATATGAGGATTTGCCTGCGGGTACACGACGGTCCCCGCCGTGTGCCGGCGGCGGCGCTGCCCCCTGCGTGTCCCCTATAGATGGCCCTTCCCCCGTGGCTCCAGTCCGCGGTGTGCTGTGCACGCCTGTTCCTACATGTTGGGCTTCTCCTGGGGCGCGAACCCTCCCCAGGAGGCCCCAGGAGGCCACACGAGGCCCCAGGAGGCCTCAGAAGGTCACGGGAAACCCCAAGGCGAAGGACCCAACCATCTGCAGCTGTGAGTGCCGCTCTCAGCGGAACCCCCCCATGGGGCCCCACGATCCTCGCGAGGGGTGTGCCGAAAAGGGCGGGGGGGCGCATGCAAACCCTGCCGCTGGGGCCTTCGGTGGAGCTCCCTAAGGGGCCACGATCCTCGCGAGGGGTGTGCCGAAAAGGGCGGGGGGCGCATGCAAACCCTGCCGCTGGGGCCTTCGGTGGAGCTCCCTATGGGGCCACAATCCTCGCAAGGGGTATGCCGAAAAGGGCAGGGGGCGCATGCAAACCCTGCCGCTGGGGCCTTCGGTGGAGCTCCCTACGGGGCCACAATCCTCGTGAAGGGTGTGCCAAAATGGGCGGGGGGGGGCGCATGCAAACCCTGCCGCTGGGGCCGTCGGTAGAGCTCCCTATGGGGCCACAATCCTCGTGAAGGGTGTGCCAAAATGGGTGGGGGGACGCATGCAAACCCTGCCGCTGGGGTCTTCAATGGAGCTCCCTATGAGGCCACGATCCTCGTGCATGCTAACCCTGCCGCTGGGGCTTTCGGTGGAGCTCCCTATGAGCCACGATCCTCGAGAGAGGTGTGCAGAAATGGGGCGGAGCCGCCATGCGAACCTTGCCATTGGCGCCTTCGGTGGAGCTCCCTATGGGGCCACGATCCTCGTGAGGGGTGCGCCGAAAGAGGGCGGGGCCGCCATGCGAACCTTGACACTGGCGCCTTCGGTGGAGCTCCTATCGGGCCACGATCCTCGTGAGGGGTGCGCCAAAATGGCCCGAGGCCGCCATGCGAACCCTGCCACTGGCGCAATCGGTGGAGCTCCCTACGGGGCCACAATCCTCGTGAAGGGTGTGCCAAAATGGCCCGAGGCCGCCATGCGAACCCTCCCACTGGGGCCTTCGGTGGAGCCCCCAACGCCACGATCCTCGTGAGAAAACTGTGCCGAATGGCCCGAGGCCGCCATGCGAACCCTACCACTGATGCCTTCGGTGGAGCTCCCTATGCAGCCCCGATTCTCGTGAGGGGTATGCCGACATGGCCCGAGGCCGCCATGCGAATCCTGCCATTGTGGCCTTCGGTGGAGTTCCCCATGGGGCCACGATCCTCGCGAGGGGTGTGCCGAGATGGCCCGAGGTCGCCATGCGAACCCTGCCACTGGGGCCGTCGGTGGAGCTCCCTATGGGGCCACGAAACGCTGTACTGGGTGGGGTAGGCGAAACGCAGGGAGGAGGGAGGAGGGGGGAGGGGGAGGAGGGAGGAAGGAGGAGGGAGGAGAACGCGGGGACCGTCTCTTCAAAAGGAAGACCCAACACCACAGGATGGTTGGAAAAAAACCCTACAAACTGCACCTCGCGGCTAAATCTGGATCATGCGCGGCCGCCCCGCGATCAGTCAAGTGGTGGCGTATGACATGCTGTGCGCAGGCCCACCAGACACAAACAATGATGGGCATTGGTGTTCGACGTAGATGGTTGGGGGCCGACATGTTTGCCGATGTGTGCTCTCACGTGCGCAGGAACACCTGCCACACCCTACACGTGCCCCGAACATGGCGCGCCTGGCGCAGCTGGAGTATGCGGCACACCCGGCGCACGCGTAGCACGTGGCACATCTGGCGCACCAGGCGTGCCTGGCACGCTCGGGCCCCAGGGGTGCTTGGCGCGCGTGGCGCGCCTGGCACGCGTGGCGCACCGCGCCCCAGCGTCGCGCACATGGCGTCGGATTTGGTTCCCAATAGCTGCCCATAAGACGGCCGCTGAACATGCTCAGGCACGGGTGAAACTTATGTGTT